GAACATGAGAATAAAAAAGTCCCGAAGGAGAAGGAAATAAATTTTTTTTGATAAATCAATTATTAACATTTGTAAATTCTTTTTTTTATCATATGCTATTCTAATAGGCTCCTTACCACTGGACACATAATGTTTACAAATAGGAAAGTAGAACATTTAATTGCTTATTTCATCATCTGCCAGTTTGGGCCAGTTATATAAATTTTGTGATGTTGGTCAAAATATATTTAAAAAATTAATTCTTTAAAAGTCTTTCAATATATATTCATTTTTTTAATATGTGTTAGGTGAATGTGTAGACATTGTTCTAAAATTTACTTGATGCCTAAAACTATAATTCCTATCATAAAACAGACAGGGAGTATTGGGGAGTAGGGTGAACATTTTTTCAATTAAGTGTAAAATAATTTTTCTGGCTGATACAAATGATACTACATGCCTGTATATATTTGTATATTCTTGCCTTTTAATAGTTGATTTTTTTTATTTCTTCAGGTTATTGTTTATTTCTTCCTCAAATGGACTTAACTTCTCCCATAGTTTTATTCATTACATCTGATGCATAAGTAAACCTTTTCTTAAGAATGATGCTTAGACTGTAAGCTATAACATAGACCTAAACAATGTCGCTGGCAATATGCAATAACTACCACGGGCAGTTTAAAACCTGGGGAAGGAAAACAATTTACAGATACTTTTGAAACGAATACATAATTATCTCACCAGCATGTCATTGTGCAACAAAGTCGTCCGCATTTTATTTGTCCTTTGAACGGGTGAAACGTTTTGAATGGCACTCGTATCGATGAATTTTACACTAAACCAAGCTATCTTCTCAGATCTAGCTTTATTTACCCGCCGTTTCATCGTAAAACCGGAAGTGCGTGTTCGTAAATCTGAAATCTCGATCCCGACTCAAATTTGACGTCGGAAAGAAAAAAATTGTTTATTTTTTCCTGAAAATTGAAAACCTTGAGCGGAGGGTTTGTAAAACTGAAAATAAAATAATTCCTGGCCTTAAATATGTAATTAGATCATTAGCATATTAACCAGGAGCAAAGGATAAGATGTTCAAAGAATTCATGCATTTCACTATATAATCATTAGAGCCCCACCCTAAAACAAGAACCCCTGACCCTGGGGCCATAAAATTCACAATTTTGGTATAGGCACTCTTGCTCATCATAACTATATACTTAGTTAGTTTATTTAATACCCAGGAGCAGAGAAGAAGATTTTCAAAGCATTCATGTATTTTCACTATATAATCAATAGAGCCCCGCCCTAACACCAGAACCCCTGACCCTAGGGCCATAAAATTCACAATTTTGGTAGAGGCACTCTTGCTCATCATAACTATGTACTTAGTTGGTTTATTTAATACCCAGGAGCAGAGAAGAAGATTTTCAAAGAAATAATGCATTTTCACTACCTACTTATTTAGCCCCGCCCTAGCACTAGAACCCCTGACCCCAGGGCCATGAATTTCACAATTTTGGTAGAGGACTCATTGCTGATTACAATCATGCAAACAGTTTGACTGCTTGATGTCCAGGAGTAAAGAAGAAGATTTTTAAAGATTGCATTAATTTTAGTGGTTTTGGCCCCACCCCTCAGGCCCCAGGGAGGCAGGGATCATGAAATTCACATTTTTTGTTTCCTTTTACCCATGGATGCTTTGTGCCAAATTTGGTTGAAATTGGTTCAGTGGTTGCAGAGAAGAAGCTGAAAATGTTCAAATGTTAACACACGACGCACAACACACAACACACGACGCACGACGACGGACGAAAACAGATAGCAATAGGTCACCTGAGTTTACTCAGTTGACCTAAAAAAAATAAGAAAGAAAACACGTGTTTCTCTGTCTCCGTCTCAGTTTACGGAAAACTAAGGAATGTTTCCTCGTTCCGATGAGAAAAAAAATAATGTAGAAAAAGGTAATATTGAAAGAGGGCAAAGTATAGTATGAAAAATAAACACATTTCTTACACATATCATCAAGCAACAGATTTTCATCTGGCGGGAAAAGAAATAAAAATGTACCTCCATTGTTTCTGGAATCTTTTCCCGGTATTTTGGGGCATACGAATGAAGATTTTGTTGTCGTGAAAGTTAAAATCAAAATAAAAGACAACAACAACCAAAAAAAAAAAACACAGAGGGATCAAAGGCGAATAGAAAAACAATCTTGCTGCATTTTGTGATTAATTTGAAGTAAGGTGCACACCAAACATCTAAAAATGAGGGGAGCAGGAGAAAATAGAGGGAAAATAAGAAACACGTGTATTTGATTTTATCCCTTCCAGATAATCTTCCCAATAAATCTAAGGAATGTTAAGTAGTTTCGAGTGTATTTTGTCTCAAGATTTGTACATGTACACATTTATATTAGTACTTCATGCGTTTTGCTATTGATTCTTCCCTCATAATAGAGCTACTCTTGCTTGTATTTTGACGGCTCATATCGGCCATCGTAAATTTTGATTTAAAAATATATATGATATCTAAATAACTGTTATTATTTACACTCCGATGATAAATTCTGTCTGGCCAACATTCTTTGTTAAATAAATATTTCGACAAATGACATGACATATCTGGAATTTTAAAATTCTTCATCGTAAATGCATTCTATATGGAATAATATCTAAAGCTGATGATCCTCAATGTGCATAGTTCTAAAATATGGACGTACATCCAAAGTACGTCATAGCAATGGGTACTTAGAAACTTATTTAAGGTATCAAGTATGCCACACTTGACTATTCAGTGAAAAGGATTCAATATTAAATAAACTATCAAGTATTAAATATATATGTTTTAAAATTACATTATGTTATCTTATGTAACGATTACAATTTCAAAATAATTTACAATGGTTACGTTATATAATAGATTAACCATTATTAACAGGCTTATAATATAACGTTACTGTTTTAAAAATAAAATTATTATTGATGCTCTCCTATATAAAGTTTTGGAAATTTTAAAAATTAAATCCACTTGAGCTGTGTCAGTCTTAAAATTGTCGACGTATATTTCGTTCATTGCAACGACTTGGACAACAGCAGACTCGCCTCGTGTAAATTAGACAAATAAGGAAACATTCTCACGATTTTTAGAAAAAAAAAATTCAGCTGTGTTGAAACATTCCAAAGGTTTCATTTTTAGGGAAAATAATATAAACTAGTTTGATAATTCTTCAAGTTGTATGATTTTGTGCATTATAATAACTACTTAAAAATACTTAATCACAAATAAAGTCTAAATGAATTTTTAGTGTTTCAATGTTAAAAGTGCAGTGCATGAAACAATTATATTAGAAATACATTGAAAATTGGATACAAACGGTCTTTATGTGTAAAAAACAACAAATTAAACACATTGCAGTTGTATACGATACAAACACTGTGAAATTTATTGATATATGTCAAAATGTCAGATATCAAGATTGTCTTCTAGAAAATAAATAATTCCGAAGAGTCTTTCCTTTACAATATATATTGTCCATTTTCAAAAGTCCCATTTGATTTTTATAGAATGAAACATATGGAGATAACGAAAAGCATTCAAGTTCATAAAAGTCCATAAAACAATACAAAATTGTAACAGAGCTAACACGGACCTTCAAATCATTTGAGGTGGGATGAGGTGCCATGGAGGAGTGAGCATCCCCTGCCGATCGGTCACATCCGCTGTGTCCTCCTTGCTATGATCGGGAATTAACGGAAAAACCCATCGTCTGTTTATTGTATAAATTATAGACTAACAAATAGTATGTAAAACGTCAGTCAGCATTTGACTCAATGATCAATTATATTTGCTGACAAGGTCACTGTGTCGACCATAGAATTTACGAAATAATGATTTCAAACGAGACTGCTGAACTTTTTGTTTTATCAACTTGTTTGTCAATAATTATATAATTTACCTCGTTTTAGAAATTGTTCATATGTAGAGCATGCTTCGAAATGGAAATAGTTATTAAATTGCAGAACAACATTTCAAAATTGTATTCTCTGAAATAAAATTAAAATATTAAGCATTACAAAGTTCTTTGCTATCTAGGACTAGTATGAATATTAATCGTGTAATCAATCGATTTTTTAACTCACGAATCAAGGAAGACAAAAGAATTGATGGTTCTCATAATGCCATTGAATTGTATCAACATTCTCTTCTTTTTATCTAAACAAAAGGATTAAGCACAAATATATTATCTTATTTTCATATGCATTTAAAGTAATAATTTCAATACATTTAAATTTTTATTATTTAAAACAAAAGCAAATATTAAATTTTAATATTCTTAAAACACCACAATACATGACATAACTTTTATAATTTTAAGAGGCAGCAAGTCGTTAATGTATCATTTATTGTTGTATTCTATCACGTAAGTGCAACATCATGAAAAGTTCCAAATGTGTCGACAACTTCCGCATTGTTAAGGAGTTTTTATACTATGAATTATAGAATAAAAATATTATCAAAATATCAAAACCCATATCATCAGGACGATGTACCACCAAGCAAAAATAATAATATTTTACGAATTTTGGCAGTTTTTCTTCTTTTTGCTCTGTTCAACCAGTTCATCAGCTGCATTGACTGGGGCAAACGTATGCCAAAGGTAATTGCTCTGAACAATTGTTATTTAAACAAAAAACATAATGTTTTTCATTTTAATCTGTTTTGATACATACTGTATTATGTCGTTTTTAAGAGGGGTTGAGACTTTCTGTTGCAAAGGGTTTGAAGAGAGAAATAACATGTGTGTTGGTATGTTACAGATATGTTATAATGTCCTTCATTAAATAAGATGTCTAAAATATTTTTACTTTCTGATGCACACATTTCAATCAAACCTATTTCTTGCGTAAACCTTTGACCAAATGTGATTACAATGAACTTTCAAACATGTTGTAAGTGATTATCATTACTCCACACCTTCATTTAATTCTTTCATTTTTCATGTTGATATAAAGAGTGCAGACCTGGATTCAGAGGGGATAACTGCAGCTTGACATGTCCAGAAAATTATTATGGTCCTCGATGTAATATGCAATGTAGGTGTAACGAATCTGAATACTGTTATCCTGCATGTGGTTGTGTGTCAGTTCTTACCAAAACGTCTGGGAAAACAATGATGATCAACATTGCAACCATTCTAATGGAACATGACATTGGCATCGCAGATATTATACAGAACCTTTTGATGCAATCGTGTTTATCGTCAACAAAAATTGTCTTCGAAATAGTAGTCAGTAAGGCTGGAGTAAACATGAGTAGCGTACCTTATTATTCTATATTTAACGATTTTTTTCAGAAGAATTATGCCCAGTTCACACGGAGAATTTAATTCGAATTATACGTGAAGTTACTGCGAATTAGCTTCGCTTGGCATTCACACGGAGAATTTAATGCGAATTAGTTTAATTCGAATTAATTTACTGCGCATTAAATTACATCGCATTAGCTCTGTGTGAACGCTAAAAGAAGCTAATTTGAATTAAATTTTGACACATGCGTAAGGCCAGAATTAAGTCACAGGACACATGTTGGTTGTTAGATTTAGGTATCCGTGCTATATTTGGTTCAAAATTAAGGAAAAGTATGATAATAACTATTATTATATGATTGAATAATTTCCATCTCTGTGATTGGCTGAGATCCAACTATGTTAGAAAAACATTACGTTGTATTGACCTGCACATGACGTTCCAGGTCAATACAAGGATTTATTTCCTCTACATTGATCTAAAACTAGATTCTGAAATTCCAAATTGATACAAATTGTTTTAAAAAGATATTTAAACGACTATGATTTTTATTTTCATGTGAACAAAACATAAGCGAATATATATTTAAGGTGAGGGTGGTAAGAGGGGATGCAGGGACCCCCCCCCCCTCCAACACTTTTACAGAACAACAATTTTTTTCTTTACTTTTTGGCAGTCAGTTTTCCCTTCTAATACTCCTTCCTTTCAAAATCTATCCTATGAAAAAGACTGACATTATATTTTTTTTTCATTGAAACTAAAATTGATTTTAATAAAAACATTTCAAATTGATACGACTGGTAAGGTTTATTAACATTTAATTCTGCTAATCTCTTGTATTTGGCTAGAACTTAATAAAATGCAAATAAGTAATGAGCTGTATCATTTTATCAGTGAATCATATAATAAAACAATTATTGCTGTTTTTTCGGTCAACACAATGATTTAGCCATCTTCGAAGTACAATATTCACCTCGCCCTTCGGGCTCGGTGAATATTGTATTCTTCAGATGGCTAAATCATTGTATTGACCTCAAAAACCAGCAATAATTGTATAATGTATACCTGTAGCCACTATGATTATTATATCAAATGGATGGCTCTGCATACATGACGTGATTTACAAATGACGTCATAATAGCCTTACTGAATAGCCTTTTTGTGGAAATAAAATTTTAATTCGCATTAGTTTACCTCGCTTTAGCTGTGAATGCAATTTAATCCGCATTAGTTTACTTCGCATTAATTTACTTCGAATTAAACTCTCCGTGTGAACAGGGAATTAATCTTATTGATTTTTTTCAATAATGTGTATAGGTTACATCATAGAAGCCGAGTAGTATTGATTATATCGTTTTCATGGGGCGTGGAAATCGAGGGCGCGGAGCGCCCGAGATTTCCACGCCCCATGAAAATGATATAACCAATAGTACGAGACATCTATGATGTAAGCAACTTCTCTCATATCTGCGGTGATTTTCTTTGATCTTTCTGTGGTGATATATCCCATATCACATATGCGATAATACTTTCCACGTCCCTTCATATATCACTGCAGGAGGTAGAGAAATCAGGTCATGAGAAAAAAATCTGATTTTATTTCACAAGTTCATAACCACAGAAAAATGAACATGTATAGCTATTTCTTAGCCTTCAACTAAATAAAAATACATGTATTTAACTCGGTTGAAAGTTCCCAGTCGTTCAAAAGATTAATCCATTTTGAAAATTTGAAAGTTACGGTAAAATCTCCAAACTTTTTATCGTTAAACTCCTTACTATTTGTTTCTGTGATTTCATAAATGTCGAGTGCCTGGCTCAAAAATAAATTGTCAAAATCTTCAAACTCAGTTAAAAACTCAAAGTCAAAGTCACTAAGAACGTCCGACATGTTTGAGAGCTAGCCTGAAATGAATCTTTTTTTTTATTATTGAATTTTGACACTCTCAATGAAATTTACGTCATTGGACATGCGACAAAGCAAGGTTACATTATACATAATACCAAGAGAAATCTGCTTTTCATGTATAGATTTTGTCGATGTCTTCACATATTTTTTTTTTCAAAAATTCATAAGAATAAAACTTTTTCTTATCAGCTACAAACGGAATTGTGAGATGAAATGCTAACAAGTTTCAGAACTGTCAGAGTGACTCCATGGCATTTGCGTTGTATATCTTTATCACAGTATACACCCATAAAAGGGTTACTATTGTTCCTTTTAAATCCTTTCGATAATTTTTTACGCATATTTAGATGCCATCAGCACGTGCTGCTGGAGGGCTGCAACTCAATCATTTAAAAAAAATCTTTTATATTTATAATCATTTTGAGAATTATAGGTTAACCCGGGTAATTTTCTCATCAAGTATCTTGACAAAACAAGAAATTTAATCAGTTTGAATGAATTTAGACATCGAATTACGTTAATGTTTACCCGCAACATTCATTTTTATATTTTATCTCAACACCATCTTCTCTAGCCAAGGGTTTCAGGGTATCAGACATCCTTGCATTGTCTAGCGAAGATGCCTCAACACCATAGCACTAGAACATACAGGTATCTTATTTGAGTTATTTATTACATGAAGAAATTATATTTCAAATACTTATTAGTGAATATCATAAACAAGCATTTATAACTGATATATTCTGAAAATGTTAGTAAATGAATTGATCGTGATATTCATATTTTAAGGTCCAGTCCAAAATTATGGTATACTTTGTTGTAATTATATCACATGGTGCAAATATATGATACGTAAGAAAATATGTTGGCAACTTCCGCGATGTATCGGAATATTTTTAGGATACGGAACAGAATGTTTAGTCAACTTTAAATCCATTTCATCTATAAGAAGATGATATGCCATAGTGCAAAAATAACGAAGAAATTTTATAGATTTCGGCAAATTTTCTTCTTTTTCTTCTGCCCAATCAGTTCATTGGTTGCATTGACTTGTGAAAACCGCAGTCACAGGTAATAGCTCTGATCTGAACAATTGTTTATTACAAAAAGAAACCAGTATAAAGGAACATAAATATATTACTATATATTACTACAAACGTTGTATTTTTTCGCTGTGAAGAGGGAATGAAACAGTCTGTTGCCAAGATTTTGCAGAAAGAAAAAAGATGTGTGTTGGTAAGTTACAAATATTTTTTTTAAATTCCTCATCGAATATAATGTTTAAAAACGATGTGAAATGCAGTGCGAATGAGACAAATCTGAGTACTTATATTCTGCAAGTGGCTGTGTGTCAAATAGGACCAAATCTTTTGACAAAAAACTGATGATAGATGATGTCATCGACATGATACATTTTATTAACATCACAGATATTAAATATAATATTTCCATGGAACCATGTGTATTCTTGCCCTTGAAAAATCATATTCCCCAAGGTTGTTGCCCGTGGGGACTTTGATTCTTCTTGGGCGAAGAAATCTTCGTCTCCCGAATATACATACAATAACCGTATAGTACTAGTATTTATATATTTAAACAAGAGGCACTTGGGCCTTATAGGTCATTTGAGCATAATGTAACAACTTTCCAACAATTGAATTCGTTTCGTGTTTTACACCAGAGGCCATGAAAAATTTCACAATTTTGAAAGAGACACCTTTGATACACAAAGCATGCTTACTTTAGTTACTTAATACCCAGAGGTATATAATATCAGAGTAACAAAGAGGAGATGATTTTGTTAATAATTACCAACGAAATTAAATCCCACACGAAAATTTATATGACTATGTATTAAATAGGGTTACTTTAAAAACAACGAAATTGAATGCCAACAAAAGTATTTTTGTTGACAAATCAACTAAAATTCACCCCATCAAAAATTTATGCTTCAATATATTGTTTAAAATATTATTCTCAAAAAAGTGCAAAGTAGGCAACTAAGCTAATAATAAATTGATTATCTCATATTCCTGGCAAATAGATTTTAAGTCTAAAATGTAGCATATAACTTCCCATTAGTACATGCACTTATTGAAATTGTAATATATGCTGAAGTGTTCGGCACGTGTGCTTACTTTGAATTCTGTTAAATGGCAATAGGATTCATTGTCTGCATTTAAAAAAGAAAAATGATAATCATACATTGACTTAAAAAAATTTCACATGTGAAAAATGAGCCGTAATTGAAAATTGTATGTCCTTCAAACCTAGATTGTTTTCTAATTTTTCTTCATTCTGATTCCGATGTTCATTTTAAGTAGATCCCAGATTTTTTTAATACACATTTTCCTAATATTTTTTATTTTAGCATAAAGAAAAAAATGTATGCGAGTAAAATCAAGCATTTAAAATTGCTAAGTTTTGATGGCAAGCAAGGGGGAGAACAATACTACAGGAACACTGCTTTAAAAAAGAATTAAATGTAATATAAACAAATAAACATGGAGAGTAATAATTAAGATAAAGCATCAAAGTCCATAAAGAAGTAATTATGCGCTCGGATCGATAAATCGGGACGTATTTTGTTTTTGCTTGTTTGTCTGTCTTTTGTCAACTTTAACCTTGACCACAACTTTTGAACCATGAGAGATACATGTAATAGAGACTTTATTTGGTGTGCATACTCCACTAATTAAATTCTTTCACATGGCACAAGGTCAATTAGTTTGTAACCTTGACTGTGTCCTATATGCCAAAAAATAGCCTTTTTAAAACATTTACGATAAATTTGAACCATACGAGATAGAGACTTCGTATTTGGTCTGTACTAGTATACTCCACTTAGTAAGTTCTATCAAACGACACCAAGATCAATGACCTTGTGACCTTGACTGAGACCTATATGTTAATAATAGCTTTTTCGAATGTTGTTGCCGCCGGGCGCATTGTGTTTCACAAACTCATCTTGTATTTAAACTTGTTTTTTGAAATCATCAATATATGCAAAGGTAATTCGCTTTACAAGGTTGGTCCATT